CCCACAGAGGCATGGCCTTATCCCTGTCACTGGAGGAGCAGGAAAACATGACTGCTGTTGGTGTTGGTCACCTGCTGCTGGTCAATGGCATGGAACTAGATGGAAGGTAAGGTCTGGTCCAGACACCCAGCCTTGCTCCTCTGCAGTGCAGCTGCCTTCCTCTGGGTGGGCTCTGCAGTGTCCAGCCCCTCCTTGGGGTGGAGGAGACCTGGGTGCAAGTGCTGGGATGCTGGCAGCACTGGGGTGTTAACAGTGGATGTGGCTTGGAACTGCTGAGCAGGGTGGGGAGAGCAGCCAAGCAGGGCAAGAAATGGGGCAGGTGAGTAGGACAGGATTTGGGCTGGAGGTAAGAGCAGCACACAGTTTTGAGGTGTCCTCCTGGGGAGCAGAGGGATGGTTGTCACCCTGCCAAGTGTCACATGTCCTGTCAGTGAGGTCAAGATGCTGGTTGTTCAGCTGGAGCACCCCAGAGCTCACACCTCGGCCAAGGACTGGCAGTGCTGGGCCAGGGAGGGCACCAGGTTGGGCCCCTGGGGGTGGCCAGGCCACTGTGTCAGGCTTGGGGACCTGCCTGGCTGTCACCTTCCTGCCAGCCCTCCCATGACACCTGCTGGGGACAGGACACCTCCAGTCCTGGGGAGCAGGGAGGGAACAGTGTCTTGGGAAGAGGCACTAAGCATCTCCTTCTCCCAGCTGGCAGGGCAGCACTGGGCCCAGCCATCCTTGTGCTGCTCAGGACGTGCTGCAGAGGAGATGCTTGGCCAGCTCTGCCCTTGCCTATGCTGACCCATGAGAAGGGGGGGTCCCCATTGCTGGGGAGGTTTATCCTGCAGATTCCCAAGATAAAGAAGGTGCTCAGTCTCTCCTAGGAATAAGTTGTGTTTGTACAACACCCCTCTGGGCTTGGGAATTCTGCTCTGCACTGTGAGTCCTGAGCCTGACTGGCCAGACTGGTCTCTCTTGCCCTGTTTTACACCCTAAGCTTGTGCATCATGTGCCCTTTTTCCTCCCACACCCTTCCCCTGGGTTTTCCCCTCAGGGAGAGCTCTAGCAGAAGTTGTGCATCCAGGAGGAGGCTGTTGGTGAGCCACAGAAAGAGGTGGTGGGTGCAGTGTACCCCTGCCAGCCCCTTCCTGCTGCAGACCCTGGCTGCACAGAGGTCCAGGTGGCACTGGTGGAAGCCCAGCCAGCTTGGGGAGTAGCTGGGTTGTGTTCAACAAAGGTGCTAATTAGTCAGGACTTGTTAATGGTCTGTGTTTTGTAGCCATGGGTGCTGAAGGTCCCAGGGGAGCAGTGGTCAGGCTCTGTGCTGTTGGGGGTGGCATCCTGATGGATCTGTGCTGCCTTCCCAAAGGCTTATCCAGGTCTCTCCTGGGCTGCTGTGCTGTTTGGGCATGGAGCCAGTCCCCACAGGGTTCCCCTGCCTTTCCCGGGCCCTGCCAGGGGGACTGAGGGAAGAAAGTGTTGGTTTGGGTCTGGTGTGCCACTTGTTACCCTCCTGGCTGATGGGAACACTGTCCCTTCCCTTCTGTCTCAGAGGTTTTCCTGCATGTCCTCTCCATGTGGAATGCTGCAGTACGGAGGGAAAGGAGATGGGCACACGTGTCCTTTCCTGCCAAGCAGGCTGGGATTTGACTTGGCAAGGGGTTAATCCTGGCTGATGCTGCTCCCTGTGTGTCTGACCACTTCCAGCTGGGACTGTGGACTGTGCCAGTGGGATGGGTGGGACTGGGGAGTCCCCCCAGAGTTGGGGGAGCTCATTGTTCCCATGGGGGATCATCTGCTGAAGGAGCCAGGCTGCAGTAGCAGGGATGCTCTGTGACCTAACCAGAGAAGCATGGTTACCTGGTGAAATGCTCAATGTGGAGAAACCCATGTTTGATACCAGATTATCTATCACCTTCCCCATCTCTGGACAGCCCTCCTGGGGGTTGAGGCCAGTAGGTCCAACCTTTGGAAATCCAGGGAAGAGAGGCCAGAGGTGATGAGTTGGGTGACTATCCATGGCAATAACTAGAAACAACCTGTGTCTGGCCTGTCTTAGAGTATATTAAAAAACAACTCTGCTGCCAACCATATGGCTCGTCTTGGGATGCAGGAGGTTTGTTACTGCTGCAAGCATTTGGTGGCTGAGGAAGGATTCAAAACACATCTGTTAAATGTTGCCTGTGAAAAGCCCTTGCTTCTGCAAGTGACTTATTATCTACTGGGAGGAAGGGGAAGCATTAAAAATATATACATTGTTATTCATCTTTTTGTAAGTGGAAGAATGGTGAAACATTCCTTCACATCCCAGGTAAATCAGTAGCACAGCACTAGGCCAGCTGGTGAGGAACAGCACTGGTTGATGCTGCTATTGCATTTTCAATCCTCTATTGAATCCTGAAAACTCCAGAGACTGAAGAGGCTTTGGTGATCCCAAGGGATGGTTAGAACAAAGATTTGGAGGCAAACACTTTTATGGAGCTAATGGTGCAGTAAGGAAGTGATTCATGTCCTGAAGTGCACGTGGCTGGTGCTGTGCCTCCCTGGCTTCTTACAGCTCCCCCTCCCTGCTGCAGGTTTTCAGGATCAAAAGGCTTCCTTGAAACTGGACATTCAAGCACTTGCAGCTGGGGACAGATTTTTCTAAAGCATCTGGGCTATTCAGCCCTTTCTCTGTCCAGGCCATTGTGGTGGATCTAAATGCATTAGAGCATTATGGCCGCAGAAGTAGCAGGAACAAACCATGCAAACCCCTCAGGAGTGGGTTTGCTAAGGGTCTCTTCTGAGTGCCCCCAGCTCCATCCTAATGCAAGCTGGTGAAGTAGGTCATGCCATTTGCTTTGCCCAAGATCCCTGCTGTGCCCCACAGACTCTACAACACCTTTCTTACCCTCCCTCTTACCCAGCTCAGCACCAGGGTTTTTGTCTCCTTTTCACTGATATGACTCGAATGAGCCTGGGTAGTTCTTGAGCAAGTCAGCTCTTCAGTTGTCTGAGCTGCTGCAGAGGAAGGAAAATCGACAGCAGGGGCTGCAGGGAAGGAGCGTCCTCTGCTGTCCTGAACAAGGTGAACTGCTCTAAAGCTGCTCAGATCTGTTCTGCAGGTGGGAGCTGCTGAGCTGGGGCCTTCTGCCAACTACTGGGCAGGCCTTGCTGGTGTAACACACCCTCTCTGCTCCCTACCTTGTCTGCACAGCTTTTTGGCATTGCTTTCTCCAGCCGCTAGCCAGAGGGGACAAGGAGGAAGGTCACTTGAAAAAGAGCCAGCTGGAAGACTCAGTCTAGAAGGGCTTGGTGGTCAGTCTGGCAGGCAGCACAGAAGCCTCAGGAAGAAGCATGTGGTGGTCATTGTGACTGGATGCTTCTGGAAGTGGCTGGACTTGTGGTGGGTAACAGCTAGGTCTGCTCAAATGGTCCTCTCCAAAACCTCCAGAGCAGAAGCAGCTGGAGCTCCTGTCACCCATGTGACCATAAAGGTCTGTTGTGGTTGCAAGCCAGAGCCTGGTTCCAACTGTCACCTGTGGAAAGCGCCAGCCTGGAGCAGGGACATCACCAAGCACTGCTGGGAGGGCTTCAGGCACAGCTCCCACTGGGCTGAGCTCTGACCATGAGCTGGGACAGCTCAGGCTGGTTGCATCCCTGTGCCACTCACTGTTCTGTGTGTGAACAAGGTCTCAGGAGAGGAGAGACCCCTTGGGATAAGATAAGGAGCTGTACCCCCTGTGGGGTCTGGTGATGAGCCCTTGAAGCAGCTCCTGGCACTGTTGAGCTGGAAGGCTGGGCCTTGCTCAGGCTTCTGCTTGTCTCCTGCTCTTCTTGTGGCAGTTCTTGGCAGTGCTTTTCTAGGGGATTTGGACATATCCCTGAAGTAGAAGATGCCTATTTCCATGTTGCTCTTGGGCTTAATGCTTGTTTTATCCTGTACCTTCCTGGCTAAGGGTCTCCAGAGGGTGATCTGCACAGCCCTGCTGTGCCTGAAGATGTCAGGCATCTCCTGGCACTTGGAGGGAACATCCCTTCACCTCCTGGGCTCCTTTTCTTGCTCCATGTGTCCAATCATCCCTTCTTCCTGCTACTGCTTTCAGAAATGGTGTGTTTCAGGATGGCCAGGAATTCCCTTCTGAAAATAACTCACCTTAATGACTGTTTTCATTTAGGATAGTCCAACTCCCAGTTCATCAGGCTTCCTTACCTGAAGGGTTTTCCACCCACATTCACCCTCTGCCTTTTTCTCTTCTGTTGCCCCAAATGAGCTGGTCTGTGGTGAAAAGGTGTCTCTTCCCTGACTGCATCTCCTCCAGCTGTCTGTGCTGCAGGGTGACCTTCTGCTCCCTGTCAAGGTGCCCCCATAGCACGTTTAGGAAAATGTGAACATACAAGGGCAAATACCTGTTAGGGAACTGGTTTGTTTTACACACCCTGTGACTTGCAGTGTGTCCTGCTGGAAGTATGTGGAAGCTTGATAGAAAAGCCACTGCTTTGTGGTGGGGATGTGAGACTTGTTCTGCCACACCCAGAACAGGGCCTGAAGCTCCCTGTGTTGCTGGGTCTCCTTGGCAGGTGCCTGCTGGGGTGATGTGGGAATACCTTTTCTCTTTTGACAGCTGCAATCCTCTGTCCCACCAAGACTACAGGGTCCTTGGGTTGGGTTTGATCCTAACTGGCCTCTGGTGTGCACAAAGTCCAACTGGGACCTGACTGGTGTTACCTGGGGAGAACTGGAGCACAGCAGCTCCAGACACTCCTGGGTGTATGGCACAGGGCACCAACATCTGCCAGTGAGTTCTCCATCTGCAGCACTCACCTTCCTAGTGGTAGCCATTTCTGATAGCAAAGACATTGTGGAGCTTGTAGGGATGAGTTGGAACAGCCTCTTCTCCCCCTCTAACCCAAGCCTTTCTCCTTGGCCAGTGACTTGCTTGTCTCCCTTCTCTCTAGCTCACCCTGCATGTGCCCCTTGTATTTCATGGTGTGTCTGATGTCTTCTCCTCTCTTTCTCATCTCTCCTTGTGCAGCTACACCAACTGATCCAGAAGCAGTGGTGAAGAAGTACTTGGAAGAGGTGAAGGGCACTCCTGCTGATGAGGTGAGAGAACAGAGAAGTTGCTCCAGTTTGCCCAGTACCTTGTTTTTTGGGATGCTGTGAAAACTATGGTGATGCCTGAGGACCATCCTTTCCCTAGGCATCCCCTGTGGCAGATCCTGCAGCTTGCAGTGGCACCATTCCTGGCACCATGCAGAGGTGTCAGCTCTGCCTGAAGCCCACATGTTGGTGTCATAGACAGAGCTAACAAGTGAAACTAGAACTAGAGCTCTGAGCAAGAGTAGAGGCCTTGTGATACACATTTAGTTTTTACCTGAGCTATCTTTAAAGTATCTGCCAAAGTATCTCCAACTACCGGAGGCAGGTGACCACAACAGAGCCCTGCTCTCCCTCTGCCCCCCAGGGTCTTCCTACAACAATGTATCCAGCATTCTGCCAACCCCACCTTCTTCTGCAGCAAGTGTGGCCAGGTACCTGGTGGCATGTCCTTGTCACAGGACTGTGACAGAGAAAGCACAGTGTGGGTTGTGTAGCTAAGCCTGGCAATGCCTCCTTGTTCCCCCTGGAGTTGGGGGCAGGCAGGTCCTGGGGTGGAGGAGGGAGTTTGGCTTTGGTTTCTTCTCTGTAGGGGAGCAGGATGTATCCATAGTCAGTTCCTACTCTGGTGGGTTCTCTTCCTGTGTTGTCCAGGAGATGGTGGAGTGAGTGATTCCAGCCAGACAAGGAAACTTTTCTCTGTGCCCTTCAAAAAGGAAGAATTAGAGTAGAAGGCAGCTCTTTTGAAGCATCTCCTCCAGCTCTTCCCTGCTGGGTCAGTCACTGGTGACTGCTTGCACTCCATGGTGGTTTTCTCCTTTCTGTCTTCACCTCCAGGACTGTATCATCTGCATGGAGAAGCTCTCCTCCCCCTCAGGCTACAGTGACACGTGCAGGAGCAGCAGCATCAAGGCAGAGTCTGTGGGTCGCCTGAGCAGCTGCCAACATTCCTTCCACATGCTGTGCCTGCTGGCCATGTATTCCAACGGGAACAAGGTACTGGGCTGGGCTGGCCCCACCAGCTCCCCTGTGTCCCGGTGGCTGGACTGTGGAGCCCTGATGTCTGCTGCTCTCTCCTGGCAGGATGGGAGTTTGCAGTGCCCTTCCTGTAAAACCATCTACGGGGTGAGAACGGGTACCCAGCCCAAAGGGAAGATGGAAGTCTGCACTTTCCCCCAGTCCCTCCCTGGGCACAAGGACTGTGGGACCATCCAGATCGTGTATCGCATCAGCAGTGGCATCCAGGTGAGTGCTCAGGGTGGGCAGGAGCAGCTGCTGCTGGAGAGCATGAGCTGTGAGGGCCTCCCAGAAAAGGCTTGGGATCCAGTAGAGCACCTGCTGGTAAACACACCACTGAGCAGCCCCAGGTGCACTGGCTGCTCTTTACAGAACCACAGATTCACCTTGGTTGGAACAGACCTGAAAGCTCAGAGTGCAACTATCAACCTAAGACAAGTCCTTAACTAAACCATATCCCTAAGTACTACACATATGACTTGTAAATCCCTCCAGGGATGGGGACTCCACCACTGCCCTGGGCAGTCTGTTCCAATGCCTGATAACCTTTTCAGTGAATAAATTCTTAACATCCAATCTAAACCTCCCTTAGCACAACTAGAGGCTATCACTTGTCCTGTAACTTCATTGAGCAGACTGATCCCCACCTCTTTACAACTTCATTTAAGGTAATTGTAGAGAGCAATTTAGTGTACAGGTGACTTGGGTCTCCTCTATGAAAGACCTTTTTCCCTTGGAGTGGTCCCAGACTCTCCAACAGCCTTTCCCCTTCAGGAAGGACTCATGTCTGTGTGAAGCAGGTAGGATGCTCAGCCCATGCTGACAAGGTGGGAGAGATCCCAGCACCTGGCTTTACAGCCCATGCCTGAGGTTTTGGTGACTGCAGTGAGTTTGCAAAGGTTTGAGCTGGGTGGTGGGTTTAGAGTGTCATCAGACCATGTAGGAAAAACTGTGGTTTAGGTCTGTGTCCCCCCAGAATTGCAGTAATCTGAAGAGAGCTGGCTTTGCATCCCAGCATGAGACCACCCTTGGAGGACCCATAATACTCTTCTGTGCCATAAGAACAAGTTGGCTCATCATCATCTGTGATACCTTGCCCCTTTTACATGGAAGAGCTGGTTTGAGATGAGTCTGTGTCAAATCCTGCTGCTGCAGGATTGCCCAATTCCTGGGAAGGTGGACATGTCCATGACAAACATGTCTTCTCTATTGCAGGGCCCTGAGCACCCCAACCCTGGGGCACCATACACAGCAAGAGGCTTTCCTCGCTACTGTTACCTGCCAGACAATGAGAAGGGCAGGAAGGTGAGAGATCACACCCTGGGAGCCTGACCCTTCTCAGGTTGTCTCTTGGCTCTGTGTTGGTGGATCAGCACAGGAGCTGTCCCCATGATGCCAACCAGCTAATCTTGGTAGCTGTCCATGCTGGTTGTTTCTTACACATATTTGTAACCCCTCTGCCCATGAAGATCTTCACTGCTTCTTCACAGCTTTGACTGGGAAGACTTGTTCTGCTTCACCCCTTCATCCCATCTGACCCTTTGGGAAGACACTCCTGGCCTGGCTTGGACTATAGCACTGAGAACTACTGAGCTCAAAGTCTGGCTGTTCCCAGCCCAATTTCCTCTGGGTGGGCATGTTTGTCTCAACTTGGATTTTTCAAGTCCTGGGAGACCAATATGTGTAGGGA